GCTTGAGCCCAGGAGTTGGAGGTTGCTGTGAGCTGTAATGCCACGGCACTCTACCCAGGGGGACAGCTTGAGGCTCTGTCTCAAAAAAAAAAACAAAACAAAGTAAGACTCTGTCTCAAAAACAAAACAAAACAAAGAAAGGTTAAAAACAAATTGCTAATAAGATTGATTACTCTGAACCAGATACTGTTGTAGGTGCTTTTTATTTATTATCACATTTAATCCTTAAAACAACTTATGAGGTAGATGCTGTTACCATTCACATCTTAGTTTCCCTAAGAACAGCAAGGCACAGAGATGTTAAGTGACTTGTTGGCCAAGATCTTACCTATAGTAGTTGGTGGAACCAGGGTATGAACTTATCATTTGTTTCTATAACTGAATAACCCTTCCCTCCCTGCAGACGATGCTGAGCAAGGGTCTGAAGCGAAAACGGGAGGAGGAAGAGGAGGAGGAGAAGGAATCTCTTGCAGTTGATGCCTGGTGGCTGGATCCCGGCCACCCAGCAGTGACACAGGCATCCCCAGCTGTGACTTCTAGCTCCCTCTTTGACCTCTCGGTGCTCAAGCTCCACCACAGCCTGCGGCAGAGTGAGCCAGACCTGCGGCACCTGGTGCTAGTGGTAAATACACTGCGGCGCATCCAGGCATCCATGGCACCCACAGCTGCTCTGCCACCCGTGTCCAACCCTCCTGCAGCCCCCAGCATGGCTGACAACCTGCTGGCAAGCTCGGACGCTGCCCTCTCAGCCTCCATGGCCAGCCTCCTGGAGGACCTCAGCCATATTGAGGGCCTGAGCCAGGCCCCCCAACCCCTGGCAGATGAGGGGCCACCAGGCCGCACTGTTGGGGGAACTCCACCTGGCCTGGGTGCCTTGGATCTGCTGGGCCCAGCCACTGGCTGTCTGCTGGACGATGGGCTCGAGGGCCTGTTTGAGGACATTGATACCTCCATGTATGATAGTGAACTTTGGGCACCAACCTCTGAGGGCCTCAAACCCAGCCCTGAGGAGGAGCCAGGCAAGGAGGAAGCTCCAGAGCTGGATGAGGCCGAGCTGGACTACCTCATGGACGTGCTGGTGGGCACTCAGGCATTGGAGCGGCCACCAGGACCGGGTCGCTGACCCCTAGGGCTAAGGTGGTTGTCTGGTATCTGAATTGAGCCTGGTGGCTAGACCAACTCTCCTTTCAGAGCCACAGCTGGCTTCCCTAATACCAAAAAAAACAGGGCATGGGTCACTTTGGAGGGATAGAATCCAGTTCTGGGCAACTTCACATTCGTCCTCTTGTCTTGGGGCTAGCCGAGGTCTGAGATTGGCCCCTAATGATGGAATGATGGGTCTGGTAGCTGGAATGTGATAGGCCCAGGTGAAGTACTGGACTGAATCTCCTGGGGTCATAGCCTGGGCTGTTCCTTCCCTGGTATGGGAAGAGACCCCAATCAATTTTTTTCAAATTAAAACCAGTCTTGGGAAACCTTAAGTCTGAGTGTGCCTTTGTCTGTGGATGAATGTGAAGGTGAGATAACATTTAACATTCATTGAGTGTGGACTGTGTACCATGCAGTTCTACCACTTGCATGTGTTAACTCCTTTAACCCCATAACAACCCCATAAGATTATCCCCATTTTACAGTTAAGAAAATACGTTTGACTCCGTGCCTGTGGCTCAAGTGGCTAAGATGCCAGCCACAGACACCTAAGGTGGCGGGTTCGAATCCAGCCCGGACCCGCCAAACAACAATGACGGCTGCAACCAAAAAAATAGCCAGACATTGTGGCGGGCGCCTGTGGTCCCAGCTACTTGGGAGGCGGAGGCAGGAGACTCGCTTGAGCCCAGGAGTTGGAGGTTGCTGTGAGCTGTGATGCCACGGCACTCTACCCAGGGTTGATAGCTTGAGGCTCTGTCTCCAAAAAAAAAAAAAAAAAAGAGAACAGGTTCCAAGAGGTCATCACTTGTGAAGATAGGATTTAAATCATGAACTTTCCTGGTAGAGGGCCTTCTAGACAAACTTCACAGAACATTCTCAGCCAGATTTTCTTGTGGTGCTTGTGTGTATAACAGGTAGGGAAAGCAGCCCCAGGTCACTTTTTATAAAAGCTATTCCACCGCAGTGCCTGTGGCTCAGTGAGTACAACCCCATAAACTGAGGGGTGGTGGGTTCAAACCCCGCCCCGGTGAACTGCAACAAGAAAACAGCTGGGCGCCGCAGCGGGTGCCTATAGTCCCAGCTACTCCGGAGGCTGAGGCAAGAGAATCGCCTAGGCCCAGGAGTTGGAGGTTGCTGTGAGCTGTGACACAACTGCATTCTACCAAGGGTAACAAAGTGAGTCTCTGTCTCTTAAAAAAAAAAAAAGAAAGAAAAAGCTATTCCTGGCTCTGCGCCTGTAGCACAGTGGTTATGAGGCCAGCCACATACACCTAGGCTGGGGGGTTCGAACCTGACCCAGGCCAGCTAAGCAACAATGACAACTGCAATAGAAAAATAGCTGGGCGTTGTGGCGGGGACCTGTAGTCCCAGCTAGTTGGGAGGCTGAGGCAAGAGAATCACTAAAGCCCAACAGTTTGAGGTTGCTGTGAGCTGTGACGCCATGGCACTACCGAGGGCGACATAGTGAGACTGTCTTACAAAAAAAAAAGGTATTCCTTGCCTGGAGTCTACCTGCACATCTGGAGGGGAGAGGAGAAGGGAGTTTCAGAATAAAAGCTGGAGGCTGGACAGAGCACTGAAGCGTCAGATCTCCAGGAAAATGGGGAAGGACAGACACCGATCAGTTTTAAAAATACACTCCTGTTCTCAAATCTCTTTGGGCAAAGCATAGGGCAGCTTGGCCGCTATCTACGAAATTAAGCCACTAGACTTGGTGGCTGGATCGAAGATAGGACGCTCAGGAGCAGGCAGTTGTGCTTTCCTTCTAGAAGAAACCCAGGCCCAGGCGAGCTGGGGCCACCTGCCCGGTTGCCCGTGTGTTAGAGCTGGCCAGAGTGCCGGGTGTCTGCGGCCGCCCCCGCGGTCCAGCCACATTCCTGGCCCAGCTGGGAGGGGCCCCACACTCAGAGGCCTGGCACGGGACCCGGCTGCGTCCTTCCGGGCTGCCGTGGGGGCAGGGCGGAGCCGGGGGTTGGGGCGGGGGAAGTATAGCCGCCAAAGCTGCGGGTTGGGCTGCGAGAAGCTGAGAGCTGGAAAGTGACCTGAGAGGCCAGATGGCCCTTCAATGGGGGAAACGCCGGCAAGGGGACACCAAAATCGCGGGCCCCAGTACCTCCCCATCGGCCGGAAGCTTCAGGGAGGCTGAAGCAGGGGTGGAATGGGGTAGGAAGGGAGTTTCGGGCGGGTCCCTGGGTCCGGGGAGGGGCCTGGCAGAGTGGAGCTTCCTGGAGGAGCAGAGGAAGTTGTACCCGTTTCTGGAAGTGGATGAGACGGGACAGGGAAGGAAGGTGAAAATGGCGTGCGGGGAGCTAGTGCTCAGGCTTGGGGTCTTCCTGGCGCCTGGCTCCAATCCCTGGTGACTCCAACCGCTAGGCAACTGAGGTTGATACTGGTTTTGCCCCAGACTTAGACTTTGGGAGCCTATGCTGAGCTCAGCAGCACCCTCTGGTGTGCAGTCTGAGGTTCTGTAATGCCACTCCCTTAAGTTCTTTGGAGATCTGTCCCTTGGTCAAGGTGT